CCCTTAGTGTAAGTGTGTGTGTGTGTGTGTGTGTGTAGATACATACACTAGCTCAATATAGCTAATTGATAGCTTTTTCTGATATCATGATTTTTTACTGAGTTTAATAAAAAGGAGTCCCTGTGGGTTTTAATCTGCTAGTTGTTGCCTTCTATAGGGGATAGTGCTTATCTCTATTTCAAGGCCATTGAGCCATCACTGTCTGAAGACATTTCTGTGGTCATGTGGCCAGCATGATGTCATGGAACGCTGTTACCTTCCCACCATAATGGGTACCTATTTATCTACTTGCATTTTCATGCTTTCAAACTGCTAGGTTGGCAGGAGCTGAAATGAGGATAGGAGGTCACTCCGTTGCGGAGTGGTCTTGAACCTGGGCTGAACCTTTCCATCTGATAAGCCCAACATCTTAACCACTGAGTCACCCCACTGCCCCACTAAGTTTAATACATGAATATTAATGAATGTAATATTTCTCTATGTATTTGTAGTCTGGCGTTAAATAGTCACTTATAAGTGCTATTAAAACAGTAAGGATTCCCTGATTTTCCTGCAGACCTTCAATATTTAATTATATATATATATTTTGAAATGTTAATGCTAATATTAAAGTATTAGTTCTATTTATAGATGGTCTTGTGATTTAGTAATCTTTTGCATACTCCTCAACCATTTCATGCACAGTATTTGTATTCAGTACTTCTAGATGATATTTCCTTAGGAAAAAAATAGTCTCCTAAATGAAATTAAATCATCTTGCAGAAATAAAGCATTTCTTCCACATTTATTGCCAACCCTGAATTTCAGTCAATTAAAATTTGTACTCAAGGCTTTTCAGCTTGAAACAAGCCCTGTGCCTGTGATGAGCAATCCTTCTTGTTTGTGCAGTCATTCATTATCTCCATTACCAAGAGGAGAATAGAGGACAATTACATTGTTTGGACGAATCAGAGTGTTAGGAGGAGTATTTATCATGGTGGCAGAGTGCAGCACCTGACAGCAAAGGATTGATGGCCAGGAATGAGTGAGTGGCCAAAGCAGCCTCATATGATGCAAATTACTGACTGTGGATTCCAATTTATCCTGTTCATTTTTCTTTCCTATGCTGAAGACTATTAGTGGTTTTTGAAGCAGTGAAAGGGTCATTACTAATATGGTCTTAAAGCAAGAGGGGAAGGAAGGGAAAAGCCTTCTATAATTACAGAGCTTAAAAAAATACTTGAGGAACTAGCCAAAAAAATGTCAACACTTAGCAATCAGAAAAATTTATTTTCATTTCATCCTTAACCCACATTAACTCAACATTATCATTCTTCTTTGTTAATATTTTCAGAATATTAAAAGCCTTATTTCTGTATTCATTCACATCTACTTAACCCTTTTTCTGAAGAGCTATATTGTTTAGCTTGCCATGACACTATTCTTGATGTTAATACACTAGGAACATTTTTAAACGGGGCTGCAAAATTCCTTTTTAAAAGTAATCCCAGGCTGTAGCTTGTAACAATTGAGTCATTTGGCACCTAACAGGGTTTGTATAGGTATATTGTTAGCACATATTTGCATGATAAAAAATATCAGTATTGTTGAAAGAAAACAGTTCCACTTGTTATGTTAGTTGTTATGTTATGATATCAAATGATATTAACAAATTTTAAAATTAGATATTCTGTACACACACACACACACACACACACACACACACACACACACACACATATATATATATATATATATATATATATATATATATATATATATATATAACTATTTAATATAAAGCTTATTTCAACTACATCTCTTTGTTTTATTGATGAAATCATTCTAAAAAAAACACCACTCAAAAATAAAACAAGATAAAAAATTATTAGGTTTATTTATGCAAATGTTTAATTTATTTTATGCTCTTTTATTCTCTTATCATGGAAAAATTAGTGATGAATAATGTAACTCAGCAAGCAATTACTATTAAATATGTTCTGTTTTAGTCATCAGACATTACTAAATCAGACATTGATTAAGATTTGCCCAAGGGGTCTGCTATCTAACTATCCACAATATATTACCTTGATCAATGAGATAAAGAACAAGGCTTCCTTGATGGTGACCCCATGAAATCAACTATGCTGGGGTGTTGTGTATGCACAGTTCTGGAAACTAGAATTTTTATGTTTAGAAAATATTTTACAAGTGTTGAAGGGGGATAATGTTGTATTTCCTTAATAATCTTCGGAATATTACATGTAAATGTATTCCCTATCTTCCTAAAATATAGTATCCATGGTATTCCCTCTGATTTTTCCCAAAGCAATTGTACAGTGTATGTTATGCTGAGAAATAAAATGACTCAAACTGTGGTCATTCAGTCCTAGTACAATATCTTTTCCATTATACAACATTGGCCTTTAACTATGGTTTATTGTAACCCATACAAACCTGGTTCACATATAATATTAAAGCATAGTAGATAACTTCATTACTTCAAAATCTAAGGGACTGGTTTGGACAAAACTCAACAGCACTTTTTTGTGTGGCTGTTGATAAAAATAGGATTGCCAACATGATTGCCAATGTCCAATGACGGATATGGCACAACAAGAAGAAGAAAATAACTTCATACCTACTGTATGGCATAGCATTATGTAAACCAAATTTTAACTTTTGTTGGAATATATTTATTTTAATTCTGCATATCTTATTAAAATCTTGAGAATAGAACAATATACTTAGTCACTAAATATTTTATAAATGCAAAATCTTCTGAAACCCATTAAACCATTAAGTACAGTACTGTATGTTCATAAAACATCAACTTAATCCATTGTTTTCAGTACCATTATCCAGTCCAGTGTGCTGCAGACTTAGAAATTGGACTTAGAAATCCATAATTCCTGCCCCGCATGAAAAGGTTTTCTAATAATAATGAATGACAGAGTTGGAAGGGATCTTGGAGGTCATTGAGTCCAACCCCCTGCTCGAGCAGGATACCTTATACCATTTCAAACAAATGGCTGTCCAGTCTCTTCTTGAAAGCCTACAGTGTTGAGGCACCTACAGCTTCTGAAAGCAAGCCATTCCACTGGTTCATTGTTCTCACTGTTAGGAAATTTCTCCTTAATTCTAGGTTGCTTTTGTCCTTTATTAGTTTCCATCCATTGTTTCTTGTCTTGCCTTCAGGTGCTTTGGGAAATAGTTTGACCCCCCTCATCATTGTGGCAGCCCCTCAAATACTTCCTACCAATTTCTTCTGACCCTGACTAATTGAAAATACAGCCAGGTAAACAGCAATGCAGCTATATTTTATTTCCATCCAGAAAATTTCCTTCCATCTCCATGAAATAATGCCTGGGCACATTGCACTGCTTATGTTTCAGTCACCCTTAGATACAGATCAAACTTTGAGAGTTTAGGTAGAAGAGGACACAGCTCTATTATGTCCTAGGCAAATTTCTTGACATGCTTACAAATCTGTGAACTACATCAAGGGTGGGGATAGATTTGTGACCTACAATATTATGCAGTTTCAGTACAGTACTTTTGGAAAGTTTCCAGTTTATGATTATAAATAGATTACTCCTCGTCCTATATATCCTGTATCAACGTATTGCAGTAGAGTTGACTATCATGAGTCCAAAAAGAGGAATTGAATATAACTTTTCAAGTTAAAATATAGAGCACCTTACCATAGACAAATTAAAGCAGTAGTCCTCAGTCTTTTCAGAACTGGAAAATATTTTACTGATAATGTTTAAAAAATTTAATGTTTTTGATCTTCCTTGGGTCAGGCTGTAATCCAGTATTGATTTGCAATGACAAATAGCCATTTTCAAAATTATCATCTGTCTGTCTGTTGGTTCATCTGTCCATCCATCCATCTATTCAGTTAGTATTGAGGCATCTTTTTAGGGAGTTTAGACATTAACCTATTTTGAGTTTAAGATTCTTGGCCAAGTGGTTTTCTGTGGTGGTTTCTCTGAAACATTTTCCTTTGCGATATGCTAAGATGACTACATACTAGACAAGTAGCCCTACCGTACAATTGTAAGTGGCATCAATATGATAAGGGGTACATAAATAAATTGTGATAATACAGATTTGAAAAGCAGATTTTCCTCCTTGATTGATTGATTGATTGATTTGCACATTATATTTTTCCAAGCAAAGTTCCAAATTTTTGCACCATGAGAACATGATGCCCTCTGACCATGCTAACCATGCATTTTGTCAATCACAACATATTCATATACAAAAAGATAAAAGTTGTATGCTAGGGCCTGTGCATATAATTCAGCAGCACCTTCTGCTTAGGAGTGATTTGTATTGAGAGCCACACAACCACAAATCAATGAGGCTTGAAACTTATACCAAGTCTAAGTGTCCTTAGGAAAGTGGCTGTTTTGTGTCTTTGATATGTTGATTCAGAGACTGGATTTCAAAAATTGTCCTTATGGCTGGATAATTGCTATTCTGGCTTGCTTTGTGGTATATTATTGGTGTTATTAAAAATCATTTTATACAGTAGGTGTCACAGAAGTACCATGTTAGAGATCCGGCATCTTTGTTATAATATGGTTTGTTTGGTTTTGGCTTAATGTATATGAATCTAGCCACTGTATTTTATAAAACATGATTTAAAAACAAGTTACACTGTATGAAGTTAGCTAATTGTGGTTTAATGAGTAAACTGAATAAAAGAAAGCATGTTTTAATACAATATCTAAACCCAGTAATTGGCAGTTGATAGTGCAATTTGAAAGATATGTTTTGTGTTTTATATATGACATGTATACTGTTTGATTATTGTGCCTATCTGATAATGTTTCACAGGACAGGAAAATTTGAAGGATGATTTAGGAATGTATGTAATAAATCAGTGGGTGTAAGTGATAAAATGAAGTTATATTAAACCTTCAGGAATATACACAACAAAGATGCTTTCATTTTTAAAGCATTATATTTCTTAAGTTCTGATTCATTTTTAAAACATTTCTTTTTATTAGCATCCGTATCCTTCAGAGGAGCAGAAGAAACAGTTAGCCCAAGACACGGGACTTACAATTCTACAAGTAAACAATTGGTAAGTTACTCTAAAACAATATATTTACTTCCATGGCTGAAATGCTATTCTTTTTTTTATTTCTACACCAATACAACTAAATGTCAGGTTTCTCTTAAGCCTGAAACAATACTTACAGAGAGCTAAAGCTAATAGGTATAAGTTATCTTTTCAAGATCATTCTCTTTTCAAACTCTCCAGCAACTGTTCAAATCTTATCAATGTTATTTCATGGGAAAACACCTGAAAAATTGTATAGTTTTGAAATTCTTATGCTATCAACTGTTAAATAGATTTCTTTGTTCAGGAGTTGAATAGAGTTAGATTTCAGCCTATAAATGATCCTTTATAGGAATATATTCTTTGATATTTTACATAGGCAAAGAAGTTATACCATTTTTGTTTTTGATATGGTAGTATGTGAACCATCCATCTTTTGTACACGGCTTAGTGTATAACCAAGGAAGGGGGGAGTAGAGGATTAAATAAAATGATCACAGTGGCCAAGAAATGATATAGGAATTACTTATCAAAATACTGGCCCAGGTTTTATCAGCAGCTTAATTTTGTTCAGTACATTCTTGGGGTGATGTTCAGATTAATTGAACTGACAGTTCTCTTTCAAAATTCAGGAAAAGTATTTGCACGGATTTCAGACCTTATACAAACTTAATTACATGGAACTCCATTTTATCATTCTAATTCCATGTAGCAGAGGTTGTATTTACAAATGAGAAGTCTCTGCCTTTATTCACAGCTTTCCTTAATATATTTATCAAAGCAGGTTCATTTACAAAGTGCTCTATCTGTGGGATACAGGCAGGCAGACATTAACAAAGCTTTTAGGTTTATCAGGCTCACTGCCTGATGAGCTACCCGAGGGTCAATTGATTTTGTGGTTCTGTGATTCATTTTTTTCTCATTTTTCTAGGATCACAATGAGAGACATGGTTGGAGAATTAGCCAGTTTGTCTGCCTTATCTGTCAGGCAATTTTTTTTCCCAGGGAAGTCAAGCTACTTAAATTGGCCACAGGAACTGCCGTTATCTGACTTTAATGCACCCTATAGTGTGGATAGCATTTCAATTACACCAGTAACCAAAGCTTAGCTGCAGCCCTTTTCATGCCTAGTGCTGTACAGAAAGTGATGTGCCTACCTACAGAAGCAGAAAATTGAGTTGCCTTGCTTCTGTCAGGGTGATTAATGCAGAAATAAACTGCTAACCTGAAAAGAAAGGGGGAGGGAAAAAAAGAATATAGAATACATAGAGTTGAATTCAGTTTAATTCTGTTTTAAAAGATTGAAATGAAGCACATTTAAAACATGCGCTTGCATTAAAAGAGAGCACAAAAGATAAGCTTTTGTTTAAGAAGAAAAAGACATATATATTTAGTTCTGACTTATTCCGTGCCTTAGATACATACATGCAAATTTGGACTGTAACTTCATACTCTGGCAATAAATGCATAATATTTATTTATTTGCAGTCATTTTAAAATTGTTATTATGGTTATAATATTAGATTGTATTTGTCTTTCCAAGACAAATGTGTATTATAAAGCCTCTTTCTTCAAAGCAAAACATTTAAAATCTGTACTTAATTATTGTAATTAAATGTTGATACATCATCAGTCACAGATAAGTATTTTTCTTTGGATGAGTAGAAAGGTGGAGTAATGAAGAAAATTGTAGCTTAATTTGATCATTTTGTTTGTGAAACCATCATGAACGTCTCATTACTTTGATTCTGAAAATATGTCTATGTAACCTATTTGACATAGACTTTAGACGTAGCTGAGATAAAACCATCTTTGTGTATGCAAAGCTAGTCTAGTCAATGGGTTATTGAAATCTCAGAAAGACTAATTTTTAAGTGATAGTATTCTTGAAAAATTATTAACCATAATCAGGAACTAGTTGGGTAGAATAAAACCATTATAGTCTTCCTTGTTATATTTTTTATAATCAGAGATACAGATTTTTTTTTTTAAATCTTAGCACCAAAACAGCTAGGCTAGAAAATAATTGAACTGTTTTATGTTCATGCTTAACAAAAGAAAAAGAACACTATCTTCTTTTTTTTAATTTAATAAATTTATGTGCCACCCATTATTAAAGCGACTCTGGATGGCTTAATCATATTGATATTGGTTGTATTTCCTTGTTAATTTTCATTAGAAATCGGCTTATGATTAATAATTTAACCAAAAGTAGATTATTATGGGGGAGGGGGTGAGTTTAGAAAACTTTTCTCTGAAGTAATGACTTTCTGATCATTGAAGTGGCATAATAGTTGTTAAAAATGTACTATTCACGTGAAGTAGCTGTCTATGCTGTTGCAACCACTTCTTTCAAGGATGTTGCATTGTCATGATTGATACTGCAATGGAATGTGGTTTCAAATAGTTACCATGGTGAAATCTATGAAGATAAAACATAGCAACAGTGTAAGTCCAGGGGCTTTACTACACAAGAGAAGATATGCTATTAGCTCATGAATGACTTGATAATGAGCCATTACCTGTGAGTTTCAAATGCATAGTTTTACGTCAAAGAAAATATTTCCAATAGTTCAACAGAGATAGAAAAGGCATTTACTTTTCATTTAAAAACTTCCTTTACCTATTTACGAAAAGCTTCTTCTATCTACAAGATTCCATATCTTTCTGATAATATATAGCATTCAAATATTTTTCAATATGAAAATACATTCTCACAGCCACTTGCAAACTATCACCATTAGCATTTTGCTTTCATTTGTTTTCTGTAACTAGGATAGATTTTTATCTTTATAATTTTTTGTACATAAAAGTGAAAATGCATCTGTAGTGAAATGAATAGTTTGAAATATAAGCAAGACATTAAGGCAGGAGTGAATTTTAGATGAGGATATAAAGGAATTCCTGTGCTGAATTTAAATAATAAGGCTGTTTGTGTATGCATCACATATGTAAATGTATCATACCTGGGAAGAAAATCCTATATTGGTCATAGAAATATAGAAAAATGAGGAAGATAATCCCTGTAGTATCAGTAACTCAATTCACTTTCAGAAAGTGACGCTAAGCTAAACTGTTGTGTTACACATATGAATTAAGTCCTTGAGGAAAACAAATAATAAAAAATGTTAATTAAAATGTCAATTAGAATCTTAATTATGTATGTTTTAGGAAATAGAGAAACACTCATATATTACCTCAATACCCTAATAGGAATGTGAATATCTATTTTTATAGAATAAAAGAATTGGCAGACTTTAGTCCAACACTACATCCTCCGTGTTCAGCATAAGAATCTGTTGGTCCTTTTCTAACATGTAGTCATTTAGACTTTCTTTCAAAACATGTAATAAGAAAAATCCATCACTGTTCTAGGCAGACTGTGTAATGTTTAACAGCTCTTATTTTCAAATATTTTTGTTACACACAACCCGAATCTTGTTTTTTTAAATTTTTAAGTACTTGCAAGTTCTGCTATTTTAGATTTTGTAGACCATTTTCATATCTACCAAAGTTTCCTATTGCAAGCTAAAGTTAACTGATAAGAAAGAAAGAATGTTTCTTGCCAGACATAAAAAACGATGATTAATTAAAAAAATAATAAAATATATATTTTAATTTAAATTAATGATTTTAAATTGAAATCATATTTTAAATTTTTATTTCAATATTTTGTAAAAACAAGTCGATATAACTTAAAGATATAATCTCTAAGTGAGCTGTTTGTTACTAAGGTATTGAGAGCTACAGTAAGTTAATGGACTGGTAACTGACTACCTTCTAAAAGCACAGAATTAAAGATGGTGGTTTTCCTAGCACATAATAAAAGAATTTTTTTATAAACATCTGCAACAATTAGCTGAAGTTAGGTTGACTTAAGTCCTAATGACTTCATATGTATCTGCTTGATTTGTACTAAGTTGATATTTCAATTTTTAAAATGAAAATTAATGTGAAAAAATGACTAATTTCTTCATATTTAATGTATCTTTTAAAAATAAAATTGTCTCTGAATTCTGAAGAATATGAAATCAGACTGTAAAGAACGAAAATGCATTCTGACTACAAATTAAAGTCATAGATTCTTTCTGGCAAATAAATACATTATGATTTAAATACTTCTACCTTCCCAGCTAGTGATTTAAATCATGACTTTTATTTAAATTATATCTGCTTTGATTTCCTGTATTAGTTCACAACTCAAGAATTTATTTAGGCAAATCTCTACCCAGTTAATCTGATGACTTAATCATGGGCTACTTCAGTATTTCTAAGAGCAAATACAAAGGAACTTCCTTTTGTTCTCTCCCTCTTTTTCCTATCATATAACTCTACCTAGAGAACAGGTTGGTATATGCAGACTGAAGGCTAGGAGAAGAAGATATATTACACATAATTGGATACAACATTGAGAGTTTAATACAGTCTGTAATCATGCTTTTCCCTTTGTCTTTTTCTCTTCTCTCTATGTTGTGCATATATTTCACCAAACCATATTTTTGTTTTCTCTTTAACATGTTGCATTCCTTTATGCCTCATAAACATTAGATTGTGTCTTAGTATAATGAATAATTCCGGTATTGAATAATGGTGACGCTAAAATTAGGACCAGGAGTTCCTTACTATTGAAGCTCAGTGTGTAACATTGGACCTGTGTGTGTGTGTGTGTGTGTGTGTGTGTGTGTGTGTGTAAAGTGTGTGTGTGTAAAGTGTGTGTGTGTGTGTGTGTATATATTTATATATCTCACCGTGAGCTCCTGGGGGAAAGCAGCATCACTTTATTTATCTAATAACTGAATAGTAAATAAATAAATTGTAGTTTATTTCACAATTTTATTTATTTATGTAATCCCTTAATTTGGGGTAGAGTTAGAGAGCTGGATAGAGGTGAGCATTTACTGGCTGTATGCCCTTCCTGATGCTACATGGAGTTTGCAGCAGGTATTATTTCTTTATGTTGTAGGAGAGAAACATCTGCCACTACCTAGGATTGAATTCTTAACCTTCTGAATGGGAGGCAA